ATTCTTGATGTGCTGCCGCCGCCTCTGGTCATTCCTCCTATACCTTCGCGGGCGGACCCGTCGAGCGCCAGAGCTTCCCTCACAGAGGGCAGGCCTCACGTCCTGCATCCATGCCCGGTCGTGGGGGGGGGGTCGGGGCAGCAGCGGCGGATGTGGTGTGTGGTGTGCTGTGCGTGTGCGGCTTGGGGGGAGCGCAAGTGCCGGCCAGTGTGTCGGCCCCGTGGCTCGGCACACCTCCGCCAGGGCCCTTGGGGAGCGAGGGTGCCCTCGATCCTCGGGAGGTCCCCAGTCGGGTTTCGCGCGAGTGTTGGTCGGCGCTCCTTGGTTCAGTCTTTCGGCACGGCGGATGCCATAAGGGTTGGGGGGACGGTCGGGCGAAGAGAACTATGCACATGCACCGATCCTGGCAAGGCCCATCCTTGACCCAGGATCGGTGCATATGCCTTCCTGGCCAAGGTAGGAGGGCGTATGCACCGATCCTGGGCTCAGGATGGGCCTGGCCAGAATCGGTGTATGTGCATAGTTCTTTTTCCTCTAGACGGGCTGATTCGTTGGTCTCTTGTCGGAAGGCTTGTGGGCCTGCGCCTTGGGCCCCCCAGTGTGTTTTAGGGCCTCGCAGCGGCGGCGTATAAGCGGTGCCGGCCGTGGGGCAGGAGCCACCCACTGCTGGGGCGTCAACAGGCGTGGACAGACTGCTGCCGCCTTCATGCTGTGCCGAGGAGGACCAGGAGAGAGGAGGAGCAGGAGGAGGAGGAGGAAGACACGGAAGAGGAGGATGAAGACCAGTAGGAACCCGAAACCCAGGACGCATCGACGAGATTGCAATGAGCGATCGCTCCAAGTTCTCTGTCCATAGGCCCGACTAGAATCTTACTGTCACTGGGAAGCGCGCCCCAGTGGAATAACCGCTTGGGAATCCTCATGCGTGCCAAAACACCATTCCTGGGAGTCCAGTGCCATGGAGCAAAGTTCCTGTTGCATCCTGACGGTCCTGACTCGCGCCAGGAAGCCGTTCCTGGGACTTGAGCACCGCGGGTCGACATGACTGTTGCGCCCTGACAGCACTAAACCGTGTTTGGAACACGGTTCCTGGGACGTCAACCGTACAAATCCGTTCAACGTGTTGAGCGTGGCGCTAATGCGAAAACCGCACGTTGAGAACGGGCCGCCCGCCATCCGTGAAGCTCTTGCAGACTTTGAGCACGAATGTGCGTGGCGCGAAAGCGAAAACACACAATTTGCAGAGCAACTGCCCTTTATTCGTCAAACGTTTTTTATTTATATATATTCAAAGAAAAAACCACGAATGAGCGCGGGGCGAACGCGAAGGCCACAACCTGACACCCGCCCGCCCTCCACCCGTGAAGCTCTCTTGCACAGCTTAAAAAAAACGAGTACGCGCGGCGCAAAAAGGCGAGGACTGCATGTTGGGAAGCAGCGTGCCCTCCATCCGTGAAGCTCCTGCAGCGTGCTACACTACATGTTGGGAACAGCATGCCCCCCGTCCGTGTTGCACTCCATGTGTTGCACTCCATCCTCCTCCTCCGTCCGTGTTGCACTACATGTTGGGAACAGCATGCCCTCCATCCGTGAATGTGCGCGGTCCAGGCGCAGCCATATTTTGAACACCGCCCGCGTTCCATCCGTGAAGCGGTTGTCAAGCGCAAGCTGCAGGATTGTTGCATGCGAGATATCTCAGGCGGAACGCCTGGCCCGCCTTGCCGACACGCTTCGAAGTGCGACAGGGAGGAGTTACCCAGTTGCTTGCGGCACATCTCGCCACCGTGCAAGTCCAGCATGATGGGTGGCGACTATTCGAGGGGGCGCGGGGGGCCGTCACGTGTGACATGTCGGGTCTCTTGGAGGTTCTGGGGCCCCCCTGAAGGTTTTGGGTTTTGGGTGGGGTCTTCTGGCATCGCCTAGGGGATCACTCTAGGGTTTTTTGGGGGGCCATTGGGCCGCCTGGGGACGCGCTGAGGCCGTATGGGCGCTTTCAGAGTCCCAGGCTGTCGTGGGCCGACGCAAGCTCGAAACGGCGAGAATGCAACAATGCTTGAAACAGCTTCCGGGGAATCGATGAGTTCGGCCTCTTTGGATTTTGCAGGAGGCTCTATTGGAGCCCTCTTGGGCCATCTTGCAAGCCTTTGAGGCCGTTCTGAGGCCATCTTGAGCCAGCTTAGGCCGTCATGGAGGCATCTTGGACCATCTTTGCGGCCTTGGTCTGCCAGGTACGCCTTGGAGGAAGAGGAGGAGGAGGAGGAGGAGGAGATGCCCTTGCGCCATCCCACTTTTGGTGATCGTAGTTCCGCCACACTCGCACTGCCCACTGCCTGATGCCTACAAACGCACCACCCGCACATCTCTCCTATTCCCCTCCTCCCCCCCCCCCCCCTCCCCTCCCCTTCTACCCTCCCTCCCGCCCCTCCCTCCCTCCCCCTCCCTCCCTCCCTCCTCCTTCCTCTTCCCCTCCTCCTTCTCCTCTTCTCCCTCTCCCTTCCCTCCCTCTTCCCCCTCCATCCCTCCTCTTCCCCCACTTCTTCTCCTCTCTCCCACTTCTCTCTTCTTCCCCTCCCTTTTCCTCCCCTCCGTCCACCACCCCCACTTCTGCCGACCCTGCCCCCCCTTTCCCCTCTCCCCCCGGGGGCGTCCGAGGACCTAGTTACTCCACCCCTGTGGCGGTCACCCCCTCCCCGCGCCGTGTCGCTTCCTACACTTCACCTCTGCAGAGTGGCTGGATCAACCCCCACAGGGCCCAGGGGCCCCCTTGGGGGCTGGTGGCAGCACCTCTGGAGGACTCTCGTGCCGTCCTCGAGCCGAGCCGGGGCAGAGGAGGACACTGACGCGAACGGCCAGCCCGGGGCCCCGATCCCCGGCGATGTGCTCTTGTTCGGCCCCGGGCGTTCCTCTTCGACCTCGGCCTCCGACGGACGCCGGGCGACGCGCGCAGCAGCCCGACACGAAGCAAGGCTTTGAGGTTTTCGGTCGTCTTCGAGCGTCTCCGAGGTCTGAGGTTTCGAGGTTTCCGGTCGGTTTTCGGTGGTCCGAGATTTTCGGTCGGTTGGAGGTTTTCCCGGCGCACCGCGCGGGTTCTGAGGTTTTTTCGGTCGTCTTCGGGCGGTCCCAGGGACCACCCAGCTGGGCCCCACGGCAGCGAGCGAACCGAACGGATCCCGAGGGAGGCGGGCCCAGAGGTGTCCTGGTCGTCTTCGGGCGGTCCCAGGGGGCCACCCAGCGAGCCGCTCGGGATGCGAGGCAGTCCTGGGGGAGGCCCCCGCAATCCAGGACGAGCGCCACGCAGAGCCCGTCTCCTGCACATCCAGCGGCCGCCTGCGGCGGGGGCAGCGGCAGCAGCGGCGATGGCGGCGCGGGGCGCACGGTGCACGGCGCACGGCGGGCCGCTAGCGAGGAACGACGAGGGGTGGATTGGAGGACGAGGAGGAGGAGAGAGGAGGAGGAGGAGGAGGAGGTGGAGGAGGAGGAGGATGAGGAGGAGGAGGAGGAGGTGGATGGTGGAGGTGGGAGGAGGGGAGGAGGAGGAGGAGGAGGATGGGGGTGGAGGAGGTGGGAGGAGGCGGAGGCGGGGCGGAGGAGGAGGAGGAGGAGGACGTCCACGACGGCGATGGTCGGCGGAGGACGGGCGAGGGGCTGCGACAGCGAGCGGGCAGGGGCGAGCGGCGAAGGGCGGCAGCGGCGGCGCGCCGGGGGCGGCCCTGCTCCCCCTCGTCGGCCCCCCTCCCCCTCGCTGGCTCACAGCCTGACGGTATCGGGGCTCCGCTGCCGATCCCGAGCGCTAGGATGAAGGACAAGAGGAGGCGGGCATGACCTTGTGAACAAAGATATATATATATATATATGTTAACATACACATATGACCGATATATATATATATATATATATATATATATAGGCATATATATAAGGAGACAAAGAGAGAGAGAGAGAGAGAGAGAGAGAGAGAGAGAACAATTGTTAATGAGAGTGAGAGAGAGAGAGAGGAAAACAACAACAACAACAACAACAACAACAACAACAACAATCACTTTACCCGAACGCTCAGTGTTCTCACCAGTGCCAGGGTTTTCATGCGACGCCAGCCAATACCCCCACTTTGTGGGGGGGCCGGTTCAAGCTCTACAAATTTTCCAAACGACTCTTCGCCACCACCACACCCATCTTTCCCGCCCTATGGACGTTCGGACACTTCACTTCGTGGCTATGCGGACGGACGTTGGCTACTATTCAGGGCCCCGCGGCCGACGCGAACGGGCTGTGCGCGCGCGAGAAAAAAACGAATGTGTCCCGCATGGTATTATTTGACAGGATGATGGCCCTGGCAGTGTGCGGCAATACGTTTGTCGCAGAAGTTCGAAAAAAGTTGCTCGCAAAAGCCCGTTTGACAGAAATGTTTAAAAAGTGTTGGGTTTCCTTTCTTCTGTTTATATTACTCATAATTTATATAATAGATTTTTATATACTGAATCCGCAAGAGCGCGCGGGATGAAATTTCGACATTTTTTGTTTGAAAAACCATTGGTTTTTTGATGTTTTTTATGTTAAAATCGCTACGAAAACTAAGGTTTTGGAAGGATTTCGTCTTGCGCGCGCGAATGTCCACTTTACCTTATTTTTTGCAAGGGATTCTTGACATTTGATTATATTAGAACAAGAAATGTCATTTTCTATTGTTTTTTGCAAGGGAAAGCGGATTACAACAAAACAATCGGATCTGCGAACCCATTTCCACTTTCTTTTTATTTTTTCTGAATCTTTCGCGAAAAAAAAAATGATGAAAATGTAGCTTTGCGGCCTAGGCGCGGCGGTGGGGGGCCTGTGCACAGGGTCCCAAACATTTAATATTCTCTGGTTTTTAATAATGTTCAACAAACAACAACAACAACAACACTAACAACAACAACAACAACAACAACAACAGCAACAGCAACAACAACACCAACAACAACAACAACAACAACAACAGCAAAAGCTCCCCCCCGGCCCCGAGGCCGCTGGAAGGAGCGGCCCGCGCAAGGCCACCGTCAAGCAGGCGCGTGGCCGCCGTCGTCGTTGCCGCCGTCGGTGGCGTCGGCGGCGGCTTTTTTGTCGTCCTCGGCGACGTGGTCGGTGTGGTGGTGGTGATCGTTGCTGCCATCCGCCGTCGTTGTCGACGGTGTGGCTGTCGTCGTCGTCGGAGCCATCGTCCTGTCCTCGTCTGTCCCTCCTCCCTTCTTATCCTGGTCCCCATCATGATATTCCAGCTCCTGCTTGTCATCCTGCTGCTACTGTTCGTCCCTCCTCGCTCCCCCCCCCCCAGATGGTGGGAGGAGAAGGAGGATGAGGAAATCAAGCGTCGACGCCGACAGCGACGGGGGCAGAGGGAAGAGAGAACACGGAGGAAACTCGACGTGGGCTGCATTTGCGAACTCCGCCGGGGAAGATTTGGCCCTCAAGCGGCATTTTACCGTGGGTGTCTGTAATTTGGTGGCCTTTTTTTTTTTTTTTTTTTTTGTTTTTTTGTTTTTTTTTTTTTTTTTGTTTTTTTTTTTTTTTTTTTTTTTTTTTTTTTTTTTTTTTTTATTTTTTTTTTTTTTTTTTTTTTTTTTTTTTTTTTTTTTCTTTTTTTTTTTTTTTTTTTTTTTTTTTTTTTTTTGGAGGTTCGAGGAGCAAGATAAAACCAAACGCGTTATCTAACGTGGACACCAAGCAGTATGTTTCTAGCAATGTACGAGGTGCCGTTTACGTATGTGGAGCAATCTATGTGTTGCAGTCGACGTGGTGCAATCTATGCTGTGCAATCGTGCTGCAGTCGACGTGGTGCAGTCGATGTGGTGCAGCTCGCCGTGCTGAGCTTGAAGTTGTCCGCTCCGCGACTCGCGCAATCATCCCACCCACCCACCCACCCGCAATTTGGTTTGCAAAACCATGCGGCGGCGATTGCGATGGCGCGAGCTGGCGCATTGCTGCAGCCGCGCTAGCGCGCGCAGGCTCGTGCGCAGAGCGGCCAGCGAGTCTGGCGCGACCGACGCGGCCGCGGTGGCGCTGACCGCTGGGCACTTCCCAGCGCGTCTCGCAGGCCGAGGGCACTTCACTGCGAGTCGGTGATTTGGGGGGCCGCGGTATCATGGCGACGTCGGCAACGGTAGACTCGATGATGCCAGCGGTGATGGTGCGATGATGACGGTGACGACGGCCAAGTCAATTGCGGCGCCGATGCTGATCACTCCGATGACGGTGATGGTGTCCACTCGTCGGCGATGAAGGTTTTGGGAATAGTTCGACGTGCGCGCGCGGCCGACGTGCGCGAGCGGCTCGCATGATGCTATTTGACAGGGCTCGTGCTCACGTCAGCACGCGCGCAAGGGCGTTCGAATGATTTCGACATGCGCCCGCGAGAAGCCCCCGTTTGGTCGAATGTAATGAACACGTTGGATATTGTGCCCCCGCGCGCGCAAACATTTGTGTTGAAGAATCAAGGCGTCAACTCATTTATGTTGTGGCCTTTTTTGGAATACTAAATTTTGAATTCGTTTCGAAAACCTAGGTGTTTAACTGATGTTGGCAGTCGTGCGCGACGGCACGCGGGTGTGCATTTCGTCACGCCTCTGGCAAGGGCTTCTTGCAAGCTGATGGTTCTTGATAAACGGGCGCACACACAATTCGTTATACATGGGATTCGGGCGGGATGGTACGACGTCCGACTTAGAATGAACGGTGGGGCAGGTTCATATGAGCGACGCAGCAAAACGGTGTCGTCTGCGCCGACATTGGCGCGTAAGCTGCCCGCGTAAGGTCGCGCGTAAGCGCCTTCGCTTCCAATGCAGAGTGCCGCGCTGGCGGCCCGCGTAAGCCGCGGCGTAAGTTCGCTATGCCATCTCGCGTAAGAGCCGTTTTTGACAGCCGCTCATATGTAAGTTGCACATTTCCACGGTGTGCCAACATTTGGGGAGGATTGACCCGAATATTCCTATTTAGACACGATCGTATAGGTTGTGGAATTTACGTTGGGCGATATACGTGGTGGAATTCGATATTAATTTGTGCAAACACATGGAGCTGACAACTCCACTGCTCGCGCAACTTGGTTTGCAAAACCCATGCGGCAGCGCTTGCAATGAATGTTTTTTGTGTTGACCTGTGCATGTCAGCGGCCGCGCTAGCCTGCGCATGCTCACGCGCGCAGCGGCCTGCTATTTTGGCGCGACCGACGCGGCCGCGGTGGCGTTGACGGCTCGGCATTTCCCACCGGGCATGTCAGTGCGAGTCGGTGACTGGGGCGGGTGCGGTATCATGTCGGCGCCGACAACGGTAAACACGATGATGATAGTAGCGATGGTGGTGAGGATGGTGACGACGGCAAGGCCCATGAAGGCGCCGATGCTGATCACGCCGATGACGATGATAATGTCCCTGCGCCTGTGATTGGCCGGGGGCGGCGAATAGGGGGGGCATGACTAGGGGGAGTTGATTTCAAGGCGTGGGCCATGATTTTTCCCAGAGTTCATGACGCCTCTTCTTATTTCATTCCATCCCTGGCCCCCCCTTTGGCCGCGCACGTATGTACCGCTGGCCATGATTTGCACCCCCCCCTCTTGGACGCCCCCCTCTTGGCCGCCCCCGAATGAAGGTTTCGGAAACAGTTCGACATGCGCGCGCGGCCGACGCGCGCGAGCGGCCCGCATGCTGTTATTTGATCAGGGCCGGGCGTTCGAATGATTTCGACATGCGGCGCGAGTGGCCCGCTTGGTCGAATGCGATGATTGCCGAATGGTTGTTTTAAGCATTCGCAAGAGCACGCGTGCAGATTTGTTAAAAAAAATCGATGGTGTAAAACCATGTGTTTGTCATATGAGCTTCGGACCTTTCGGAATTGAAATCCTTATGAAACCTCCAGTTCTGGATGGGTTTCCGCATAGGCGCGCGACGACGAGCGCGTGCGCACTTCGCCCCATATGTCGCATGGGACTATTGCGACAACACGCGCACGAGGGCGGTCGAACGATTTCGACATGCGCGCGCGAGAGGCACGTTTGGTAACATGTGATAAACATGTTCCATGGATTGTTTCGCAAAGGCGCGAATGCATACTGTTTTGAAAACGCCCGTTGCGAGACCACTGGTTGTTAATGTGTTTTCGGGACATTCGATTTTGACATCCGTATGGAACCCAAGCTTTTCCCAACCAGCCTGTTGTTGAAAGTTCGTTTTGAAGTTCCAGCGCACCTCGTCTCCTCTCCTCCCCTCCTTTCCCCTCCCCTCCCCTCCCCTCCCGTCCCCTCCCTCCTTCCTCCTCCCTCGTTTCCCCCATCCTCTCATCCTTGCATCTGCCTTCCGCACCCAATGCAGCGCTTCGTGGCCCCATATGGAGCTCCACCAAAAAACCCAGTGACGGTGTTCGCATGCATCCATCAGTCAGCACAGCGCTTCGTGGCCCCATAGGGAGCCCAACCGACGGCCCCAGTGGCACTGTTCGCATGCGTCTCCACCACCCAATACAGCGCCTCGCTGCCCCATTCGAAGTCCCACTGAAGGCCCCAGTAGCTGTGATCGCATGCGTGTTTTGCACCCACCCAGTGCAGCGCTTCGTTGCCCCCAGAGCCCCACCGAAGGCCGCAGTGGCGGTATTCGAATTCGTTTCCCCGACCCAGAACAGCGCTTCGCTGCCCCATAGGGAATTCGACCGAAGGACCCAGTGCCGGACTGAAGGCCCCAGTGGCGGTGGTCGCATGCGTGTCTCGCACCCACCCAATACAGCGCTTCGTGGCCCCATTCGGGGGGCCCACCGAAGGCGTCCCCCTATCACCTTGTACAGCGCTTCGTTGCCCCATAGGGATATCCACCGAAGGCCGCAGTGGCGGTGTTCGCATGCGTCCCCCGCACTTAACAACAACGCTTTATGGCCCCAGTCGGAGTTCCACCGAAAGCCGCAATGGCGGTGTTCGCGTGCGTTTTCCCTACTCATTACACGCCTCGTGGCCCCACAGGAAGCCCCACCGAAGGCCCCAGTGGCGGTATTCGCAAGCGTCTCCCCCTACCAATACAGGGCCCCGTTGCCCCATAAGGGAGCCCCCCTGGAGGCCCCAATGGCGGTGTTCGCACGCGTGCTTGGCACCCACCTAGTGCAGCGCTTCGTGGCCCCATAAGGAGCTCCACCTAAGGCCCCAGTGGGGGTGATCGTATGCGTCCCCCCCCCCACTCAGTAATTACAGCGCTTCGTGGCCACATAGACAGTTCCACCGAAGGCCGCAGTGGCGGTGTTCGCATGCATCCCACATATTACAACGCTTCGTGGCTCCATAAGGAGCTCCACCGAAGGCCGCGGCGGCGGTGTTCGTATGCGCTTTCCCCACTGAGACTCAGTACACGCCTCGTGGCATCATAGCGAGTTCCACAAGGCCTCAATGGCTGTATTCGCATGCGTCTCCCCCGACCAATACAGCGCTTCGTTGCCCAGTGTGAGCCCCACCGAAGGCCCCAGTGGCGTTGTTCGCTTGCGCCCCCCCCGCCCAACTACAGCGCTTCGTGGCCCCATAGGGAGCTCCACCGAAGGCTCCAGTGACGGTGTTCGCATGCGTCTCCCGCATACAGTACAACGCTTGGTGGCCCCAGTGGCGGTGTTCGCATGCGTCCCCCCCCCACCCAGTACAGCGAGCGCTTCGTGGCCCCAGTCGGAGTTCCACCGAAGGCCCCAGAGGCGGTGTTCGCATGCGCCTCCCCCGCTCAGTACAGCGCTTCGTTGCCCCATGGGGAGCTCACCCAAAGGCCCTACTGGCGGTGTTCGCACGCGTTTCCGGCACTCGGTACGGCGCTTCGTTGCCCCAAAGGCGGAGCTCCACCGCACGCCCCAGTGGCGGTGTTCGCATGCGTTCCCCCACTCAGTACAACGTGGGGAGCTCCACCGAACGCCCCAGTGGCGCGCGTTCCACCCAAAGTCCCGGTGGCAGCGCCCACATGGCGGCCCCGCCCCATATCGGCGCGCCCTTTGCATGCTTCATGGCCCCATGAGGAGCTCCCCCTAAGGCGATACCCGCAAAGTACTCACATCGCCAGGATCAGTTTGATGATTTCGGTATGCGCGCGACGACGCGCGCGTGTGCCTGTCGTCCCGCTTCTGTTGCGAAGGATGTTAATCATTGCTGAGTTTTGATGCGCAGGTGCGCGCGCATAATTTTTAGCCGAGGATGGGGGCGAAAAGGGATTGTTTGGGATGATCTGGATTCATCTTTAGGATGAACGGTGGGGCATCATCGCCTGTAGTTCACAATGCAGAAAAGGTTGTTCGTTACGCCTGGGGGGGAGGGCAGAGCCTAACATGCATGTCGGGCAGAGAACTCAAGCGACGACGGGACGACGACGTGGCGGCGATTGCGACCACGGGGCCGCCGGACCGACGGTCAGGCCCAGACTCGACGATGGGCGACGGGACGGCGACGGGGCGCGACAGCGGCGACGGGGCGGCCAGAGCGCCACACGGGCTCAGACGGCGGGTGACGACGGGGCGGCGGCGGGGCGGCGGCGGCGGCGACACGGCGTCCAGAGCGCCACACGGGCTTGCGCGACGGGGGGTGGCGAGGCGGCGACGGGGCGGCGACGAGGCGGCGACACGGCCGCCCGACCGCGTACGGGCCCAGTCTTTTTTAATGACAAGCAAGTTAAAAAAGCAAAACGTGCAAGCGTTGTTTGGGGAATGCAAATAAGGGTGAGACGTAGGAGGAGTAGGAGGCGGAGGAGGAGGAGGAGGAGGAGGAGGAGGAGGAGGAGGAGGCGGTAGGCGGAGGGTGGAGAGGGGGAGGAAGGAGGAGGGAGGAGGTGGTGGAGGAGGAGGAGGGAGGTGAGGAGGAGGAGGATGGAGAGGAGTAGGAGGAGATAGGGAGGAGGAGGAGGCAGGAGGAGGAGGTGGAGGTGCGAGGAGGAGGTGGGAGGGAGGAGGAGGAGGAGGAGGAGGATAAGCGAGAAGAGAAGGATTGGGTTTCTTCCTGGCAACCATGGGGTCCTGGGGATACGTGTGTGAATTGTAAGGGATCAGGAGGCAGGAGGGAGAGAGTATGTGGGGAGGGATGGTGTGAGGTTGCTTGGGGAGGAAGTGCGTCTGGCTTTCCAATGGGAGCTTTGACGCGAAGCGGAAGAGGTAGTGGATCAGGAGTAAGGAGGAGCAGGGGGTCAGGAATTTTAGTTGCTGGCATGAAGAGGAAGTAGGAGGATAGGAGGTGGGGAGGTAGGAGGGGGGGGAAGGCAGGAGGCAGGAGGAGGTGCAGGAGCATGGAGGAGCAGGTGCAGGAGGTGGGAGGAGGAGGTAACATCCGAAAACGACAGAGGGAGGAGGAAGAAGCGGTGGAGGCGTGCACAGGCGCTTCGTCTATCCTACGCCTCCGGCGCAGGCTCCAAGCGCGGCGGCGCACCCCTTTTTTTTTTTTTTTTTCTTTTTTTTTTTTTTTTTTTTTTTGTTTGTTTTTTTTTTGCCTGCCGCGCCCGCTTGCCCAGGGCGGGACTTTCGACGACTACGAGGAGCCGCCGGGTGCATACGAGGGCTCCCCAGGGGGCCCCCAGGGCTCCCGGGGGGGCGCCGTGGTTGGCCGACCCTCGTCCTCATCATCGGCGTCATCGTCTTGTTCGTCCTCGTGTTCCTCGGCCTCGTCTTCGTCGTACGCCTCGTCGTCCCCTCCCCTCCCGGGACAGTCTCCGGGATGAGCAGGACAAGGACGACGAAGGGCAGGACGAGGGGGAGGAGGAGGAGGAGGAGGACGAAAGAGGACGCAAAAGGAGAAGGGCAGGTCGAGGAGGACGAGGAGACGTAGGAGGGCGGAGGAGTTCAATGAGAGGGAGTAGGGAAGGACGAGGAGAGGAGGAGGGCTGAAGGACGAGGGACGATAGTGCAGACGTGGCGGACGTGCTGGACGGACGAGGTCGGCCGATGGATGCATAAGTTTTGCCCCTTCGCAGTTCCGCTCGTGGTGGTGGCCACGGGTCTGCGGGCGGCCCCGCGGCGCGGCAGGGCTTAAGTCGGGCGAGCGGTGTATTCTTCTTTGGACGCACGCTCCCTCACTTCTCTCCGCCCCCTCCTGGACCTCCCAAAAAAACGAATTGTACTGCGCGCTTCAGGGAGTAAGGGGAGGAGGAGGGGGAGGAGGAGGAGGAGGAGGTGGAGGAGGGAGGAAGAATGAGGAGGAGGAGGAGGAGGAGGAGGAGGAGGAGGAGGAGGAAGACCAGAGTAAACCCAGTGTGCATCAGCGATGTGGTAATCCAGTCGGGCATCTGAGTAAGAAGCCTCGTCCCGAAAGGCTGGGCCCGGGTTTCTTAGCCGATTTGCCGGAAAGCCGGCCCAGTCTCCCGAGCACGTGCGCCCCTCCAGCGTTGACGGCAGAAGTTGACCCAGGCTTGTTTCAAGAACCGTCTAGAAAGTTGGCCCAGGTTTCTTGAATTCGGGCGAAGAGAACTATGCACATGCACCGATCCTGACAACGTCCATCCTTGACCCAGGATCGGTGCATACACCTTCCAGGCCAAGGTAAGAGGGCGTATGCACCGATCCTGGGCTCAGGATGGGCCTGGCCAGAATCGGTGTATGTGCATAGTTTTTTTCCTCTATTGAATGCTGCCTTTCTGGATCAGACTTTCGGTGGTGCACCTTCCCGTCCCCAGCCTCCCCACCAGAAATTTCTGCCGGCCGCCCCCGTCACTGCGGGAAGCACCCCCTCGAAAGACGGGCAACCCGGAGGGCCTGCCATCCGGGCTGGAGCCCCGTTTTGAAGAGGAGCTGCGCAGGTTGACACGTCGGGTCGTGCTGATAGGAGTGTCCTTCCTCCTGTTCCTCCTCGTCCTCCTCCTCCTCCTCCTCCTCCTCCTCCTCGTCCTCCTTGTTGGCCAGGGTGGCGGCAGAGGCGGCGGCGGCGGCCTGACGTCGGGTTGACATGTCGGGTCGTGCTGATAGGATTGTCCTTCGGGTGATGACGCATTGGGGGGCAGCTCTCGTTCTGCAAGCGTCGCGCTGCAAAGATCCTCCTCCTCCTCCTCCTCCTCCTCCTCCCTCCTCCTCCTATCCATCCTCCTCTCCTCCTCCTCCTCCTCCTCCTCCTCCTCCTCCTCCTCCTCCTCCACCTCTCCCCTCCCTCTCTCCTCCTCTTCCTCCTCCTCCATCATCCTCCTCCTCCTCCTCCTCCTCCTCCTCCTCTCCTCCTCCTCCTCCTCCTGGTTGGCCAGGGTGGCGGCAGAGGCGGCGGCGGCGGCCTGCGAGCCCGCGCTCCCGGCCGTGCGCACCAGGCGGCACGGGGCGAGGCCGGGGCCTCCGCCTCGGTGCGGGGCCTCCGCTTCGCGGCGAGCTCACCCCAGGTCGGAGGAGGAGGAGGAGGAGGAGGAGGAGGAGGAGGAGGAGGAGGAGGAGGAGGAGGAGGAGGAGGAGGAGAGGGGAGGAGGAGGGAGGTGGGAGGAGGGTGGAGGGAGGAGGAGGAGGAGGAGGAGGGGAGGAGGAGGAGGAGCGAGGGCTGCCCCTCAAGCCCGCCCGGCCCCCCTGCACGCCTCTCGTGAGACTAGCGCGAGGAGCCGCCGGGAGGCGCCGACGCGGGGCCTCCCCGTGGGGCTCTGCGCGGGGCCTCCGTCTCGGTTCGAGGCTGTGGAAGGTGGCGCAGGCCTGGGCGGTGGCAACACCCGCGCTTCTCTACCTGATGGGCACGTTTTCCACCGCCACCACCACCATAAGTTGGAGGGGGAGGGGCTCCTCCCCTCCTCCTCCTCACTCCGCCTACCTCCGCCTCCTCCCTCCTCTCCACCTCCTCCTCCTCCCTCCTCCTCTCCTGCCTCCTTCTCCTCCTTCCTCCTCCTCCTCCTCCTCCTCCCGCCTCCACCTCCTCCTCCCCCCCCCCGCCAACTTATGGTGGTGGTGGTGGTGGAAAACAGGCCCATCAATACCTCTGACCCCACTATGCCATGCCCTTCAGGCACACGCGTCTCTGGGGGGCCTTCCGACCTGCAGTGCGGGCTCTGTGCTCCAGGGTGTGGGTATAGCAGACTGGCCCTGTGGTACGTCCATCCCTCTCGCACAGACTAAAGCTCTAGACCTCCAAGACGGGGTCGGAGCAGATGTGGTCGGAGGATCTCGCCGCATCGCCGATGCATCGGCGATGCGGCTCGATGCGGAGCCCGATGCGCTTCACGTCGATGTCGCGGATGCATCCCCGGCGCATCGCCAGTGCATCGCCGATGCATCGCCGATGCATCGCCGATGTATCGGCGATGCGGCGCGATCCTCCGACCCCGTCTACGCCGACCTCATCCAGGAGGCCTTTAGAAGCGAGAGCCCCATGTTCAGAAGGAGCCGCCCTCCATCCTCGTGGCGGCTGCACAGGGCTACGGCTGGCCCGAGGGCTGGGCACAACCCCAGCCCTGGGAGCAAGGGCTCCCACGAGGGCGCGAAGTTATTCGCCCTTCGCGCTTCGCGGTCCTCGTTCCTTCTTCCCCTCCTCCTCGTCCTCCGTTCCTCCCGTTGGGGGGGGGCGGGCGAGAGCGCGAAGTTCTTCGCGCTTCGCGGAGCGCGAAGCGCGAAGTTGGGAGCCCTTGGGGAGAAGGGGTTCCCTTGCGTTCTGCCTGCGGGGCCCCCCCACACCTGGGAGCGCCGCGCGATCTGAGTGCGCACCTGGGCCTCGGGCCGTCGGCGACGGGGCTCGCGCTCTTGCTCCACGTTCGACTGGCCGTGCTTCGGGTGTACACTTCGGGTCGCGAGTGCTGGGGGGGGTCTCGAGCAGGAGCCCCTGGTTCGAAAAGCAACCGCAGGCCATCGTTGTTTGACTGCGGGACACCTGCAGGAGGAATGTCTCGCGACGCGAAGCCGAGGGACACCTTAGTGAAAACCGTCTGCCATTCCATCTTTGTAGCGTGTGGAATGCTTTGCAAGCGAATGCACTCGGCTCGGCGCCACTGCGAGAGCCACACTTAGAACTCGCCCTGCATCCGTTCAACCATTGGGGGGAGGTGGCGAAATCTAAGGCAAAACTTGCGGCAAAACTGGCGCCCCGCCCCACCAGCACGTCTGGTGGTGTGCGGAGTTGTGGCTGATTAAAAGGAAGACGGATGGAGAAGGAGCAGCAGGAGGAGGAAGAGGAGGGTGATGAGGGGGAGGAAGAGGGGGCTGGAGGAGGCAGGGTGAGTAGCTAGGAGCAGGACGAGAAGGAAGAGGAGGAGGAGGAGGATGAGCCAAGACGAATGCCAGCAAGTAAGAGGAGGATAAGGAGAAGGAGGAGGAGGAGGAGGAGGAGGAGGAGGAGGAGGAGAAGGAAGGAGGAGAAGGAGGAGGAGGGAGGAACAAGGAAGAGCGGAAAAATGGGGAGGAGGAGGGAGGAAGGGAAGAGGAGGAGGAGGGAGGAGGAGGTGGAGGAGGGGGAGTAGGAGGAGGAGGAAAAGCAGGCGAGAGGAGGAGGAGGGAAGATGAGGCTGAAGCCAATCAGGCGACGGCAGCGGCGGCGGCGACGACGATGATGACGGCGACTCGGCGGCGCAGGATCCTCTACGTTGGGGCTTCGTCGGCGATGGCACCGAGCACAGGGCGAACCTGACGACGCCCGTG